CAATGAGTTAAAGTTCTCGACTAATGGAAGTCAATGGGATTTTTGAAAGCGTTTTTGGTAAAATGCCTGAAATGAGGTCTGTGGTTAACACAATCTGAAGAGATTCAAGCATTTTGTTCTATGACATAAAATACATCAGTAAATATCCCACTCATGAAATTTGAAGCCTTAAAGTTTCTTAAAGATGGTTTCTAACAAGTGCCTAAATGAGACTAATGAACATCATTCTTTTCATCCTACACTCTTATTACTTTTACTCCTACTTTACATCCATTGTATGAAATATGGTGCGTCATAGAATCCTACATTTTGCAGATATCTCATATTTACCTCAGAAGAATCCTGTGTGAAGAGTATGTAAGAGATGATAATGTTTAATAATAAAGCCAAATGATCAAGTACAGTTGCATTGAAGAGATGGGGCTTTTGCCCAATACTTCTGTTTGCATGTGAATTGATGGATATTTTGCTTTCACTTCAACCAGATTTGACTACAGTGAGACTGGTCAACTCTAAAAGGAGCTGCTCTGGCAGAGTGGAGATCTTCCACAACGGCAATTGGGGGACGGTGTGCGACGACGTTTGGGATTTGAATGACGCTCGGGTGGTGTGTCAACAGCTGGGCTGTGGCAAGGCTCTGTCAGCACCAAGAAGGGCACACTTTGGACAAGGCAGTGGACCAATCTGGCTGGATGACCTTCAGTGTGCAGGAACTGAGTCATCACTAAAAGACTGTACACACAGAGGATTAGGAACCCACAACTGTGGTCATTCTGAGGATGCTGGTGTCGTCTGTGAAGGTAACTTTGTACATCTACACTTTTTTTTTCTGCATGAATGAAACTGGAGAATTACTAAAACAAAAACATGGTTATTAATTTAACCTTGCAGGTTTGCAGTAGGACATCTGTTAACACCGACCATTGGACCAAAAACCTGTGAGTACAAAATATAACCAGGTGTCAGAGCTGACATCTCAGCACAGTGAACTGTTCTGAATTCATAACCGTGTTTCTTTTCGTCTTGATCTTTAGGCGAGGACTGACCGAATGCTGTGTATATGTATTTAAATATATACAAAATTAAAATCAATATTCACTCTCGTATTTCATTCAATCATTTCTACTCTGCTACTAAAAATCAACATTTTTAGTAGCAAACGTCGTCAAAATCAACATATTTGGTGTCATTACTTGATGGCTGTTCTGCACCCTTGCAATATGAACCTGCGTTTCATGTGGGGTACATGGAGACAAGACTATCGCACATGCTCAAACTAGCCCGAACTTAGGCGAGAGTGACTAGCACAGGCTAACTAACATGCTAATAATTGTACACATCCTTCAGCAACATTTAACCAACAGATTTAGCATGAAACGACTCATTAAAACCTACGGATTTTGATGTGCAGGAGCAAGAGAATGGTAGGAAATAATATCTTATGTGTGTATCTGGCACTACACGATCAGTCTTAATACAATACTTAACTACAACATGAAATGCATTATTCTTCAAAATGATTGTGTAACTGTTGGTCGCGAAGTTATTCATTTGCTTTTTGTGCAGCTCGAGCCATGCTCATGTTACAGGACTC